TGGAGTAAAGGTGGTCTAGAGTTGATAAAGACAGCATCGATGTCCTTATTCTGTAGCTTCTGGTACGGTGGGCTGGTCAAATGAACCCAATGAACCCGTCCGGATGGCTTCAAAACATTCTATGAGGTCGTCTCGATTCTCGTAGACAGTGTTCACGACTCTGCTGTTGCTAACCTCATCGTTGTGGCGGCGGACAGCTAGCCTGTATCCCTCATCCAGTTGAGTGGCAATATTCACTCTCACCAAAGCAGACAATCTCAAACAGCTATCAATGTGGGTCTTTGACAGCTCATTTTTCTTAATCTTTTCTGAAAGATGGTGCATGTCGGTTACACCAGTCGCTGTCCAAGCGTTGCTGTCTGCCGTTCATGGTTACGTTACGTTACGTATGACGAAAGCGCGTAAGTGCAAGCCCTCAGACACCCATAGAGAATGTATTGAAAGCTCAGAAATTTGAAAAAAAATTTTTTTACATTAGAGGCTATGAGAGACTTCTGGGCGATTTTCAACCTGACTGAAATCGCCCCAAAACGGGCGGGGACATTTGAAGCACGACTTTAGCCTGATTGGACATTTAGTGGCTGGCAGATCAGACGTGAACACTGAACTACTGTTGCCATGATATAATTGATTAGAAAAAAAATCCCTTCCTTTTCCCGTTTGGCAGTGCGTCGCCCATATCGCCCTATTGAACACACCGCCCATGTCAGTACCTATATAAGTGTTCCATCTGCCCCTCTGCCCCCTTGTCTTTGTGTGTGATTGTTTATTGTGAGGAGAGTGAAGCTCGGTTGAGCGCCTTGTATTTTGTATTACCGGGTTATTTTTCCCTGTGTGCCTTGTTAGTCCCAGTGCGCCTGTTTTGCGCACTGGACTGTTTTGATGCATTACTGCGTAACTCTGTATTCCGGAATAAATCCTGTTATTCTGTGATTTACCCTCCTGCGCCTGACTCCTCCAAATCACCAATCACACCCTGCTAGTACCCTCTCCACTACCAAGACCCTTGCAGTGCCTCCTCATAATAATAATAATAATAATATGCCATTTAGCAGACGCTTTTATCCAAAGCGACTTACAGTCATGCGTGCATACATTTTTTTGTGTATTGGTGGTCCCGGGGATCGAACCCACTACCTTGGCGTTACAAGCGCCGTGCTCTACCAGCTGAGCAATACATATGGTAACTAGCTAATTTACAACTCAGGCTAAACTGCTTGCGATCTTGCAGCAGCGGTAGGCCACAGAGGTGTAATGTGTATGCCCACTGGCATGTGGACACGCCCCACCACTTCCCCAGCTATGGGTTCATAGCCAGTTAAAGAGCTCCAAGCATCAAAGGGTGGAGTAGGACTCCGAGCTAAAACAGCCAACAGCAAATGTCAGGAGGATCTGTGCCCCCTGATCTACTCTGATGCTCCAGGACTTGGGGAGATTGAGGTAAAACAGATTGTAAAAAGGCTCATGGTCTTCAATCCTTTGTGGTTGAATCAGAACTAGGTGTTAAAGTTTAAAGGACATCAAAACCATGTTGTCCTGACTCATTTGGGCAAAGCCAGTTGAAAGTAGTTTAGCAAAGTATTCCATTCAGAAACCAGATCATATAGACATAACATTACTTTAATTTATACCTTTGTTCTTACACATTTATGGGGTGATCACATCAGAGCCAAAGCAAAGTAGCAGTTACGGAAATGATCACACTCGAGGATAAAGTTCTTAACAGAAAAAGAATGGAAAATATACAGACATGAAATAATAAATTATATTTTATTCACACCAACTGACATAACTGTAACTCTTGCGGTTGCCATATCAACAGAGTTGATTGGAATTTGTTTCAGTGCAGCTCACTTCCACCGTCTGCACCCCAGCTCCCTCTGACCACAGTTTGACGCATTGGTTCACCAGTGCATTTGGTTGGAAGTGCCTGGGAACGAGATTAAATCAAACACAACTGAGAACACACATCAACTTCATAGAACAGGTAACACACTTATCGCTCAACAAAACACACACTTTCATGAGTAATATGAAAACAACTGACACACACACACACACACACAAGCACACAAGGACACACTCACATACATTATATGGAGGTTGAGAAGTGTGTGTCCTGGTGAAAGGAGAGGAAGGTCATGTTTATCGGGACGTTCTTCCTCAGAGGGAGCAGCATCAGAAGCAGCAGGCTAGAGCCCTAACACACTAACCCCTTCAGAGAGAACAGAGGGTACGACACAGTCTGCCTCCTCACTTCCCACACAGAGGTTAGAGCCTTCAGATACATACCCTCTAACAGAGCACATCGGGAAACACTCACTCTGCCTGCTTACCTGACACACACACATACACAACAACAACACACAGAGATAAATCAATCTCATAAGATTCTCGGTGCAGACTTTAAGCCTTTCTATGTGGAAACTATGACCATGTGTGTCTGTGTATACTCATCCATTCCTGTGTTGGTGTTAGCTGTAGGAAGTGGTCTAGCTGCTGTCTATGGATGTTCTTCTCTACTGAACATGTGTAGGATGTGAGGGATTGTAAGGGACTGTAATTCTGCATCCAGCGTCTCTATGGAGAATTAAGATTCTACACACAGAGAGTCAAATACAAAGTCAATTTAGTTCATCGCACATGACACACTGTCCCTGTCCCTCTAGAAAAACAGAAGGACATATGTCATTATACTCTAGTACAGGGCTATTCAACTCTTACCATACGAGGTGTCACGTCTCCTCCCGTTGCTCCCCTCCGGCGCTCTGATTCGTCGGTCTACTGAGCCACCGGTCTGAGCGCACCACCTCGGCAACACCGGAATGGAAACCCAACACACCCTAATCACCTCCAGCGCACCTGCACCTCATCATCTCATCACCACCCCTATTTAGCCCTGGACTGTTCTGGAGGATGTTGTGTGTGATTGTTAAGCTTCGTGTCATTTACTCTATTGTTGTTATTTATTTTGCTAATTGTTAAGTAAACCTTGACCTTATTAATTCCTGCGTCTGCGTCCTGCCTCTTTGTATACTCAGTACGCGTTACATCTACCTGATAATTAATTGGACACACCTGGTGTCCCAGGTCTAAATCGGTCCCTGATTAGAGGGGAACAATGAAAAAAGGCAGTGGAACTGGTTTCGAGGTCCAGAGTGTAGTTTGAGGGCTCTAATATATACAAAGCCATATCATGCAAGGCAGGGAATGGCAGAAGTGTCGTGCCTACCTATATGTGTAGTGTCACTGTCAACACTGCCAGCTTCAATCTCACCCAGTGGTGCAGGTGTAGTGGTGGCCATACGCAGGAATACGCAGTATGCCCACCTATTTCTACAGATATACTCACCTATACTCACTAATTACCACTGAGAATAATTGAATATGGATCATTCAAGTTTTCAATCTTAATTCCTTTAATCTTTGCCATTATTACGTGGAGGGAATGACCACCTATAGCTAGCTACGTATACCATATAGACAATTGTTGATAATTAATTCATACTCACCTGATGGTCAAAACTTGGTATGTCAATCCGTGTTAGCTGGGGATGGATAGTCTTGACTGAACCTTGTACAGTGTACAGACAGGCACATACACCTGTTTGGTATGATAGCTAGCTAGATTTAGCCTTTAGGTTGGTGGCTTTTAATATAATCTCCCTGTCTTGTCTGCCAATAAAGCCAACAAGCATTGAAGGCAGCTAGCTAACTTAACTTTACTTGTTGGTGGCCCTTATTTATAACTAACCTGGCGAAAGCTAGCTAGCTGGAGCGATGGTCAGGTAACATCAGATAGTCACATACTGTAGCTTTTACTCTGAAAACAGCTTGCACACCTATCCTGTTGCAGTTCCTCCTCTCTACGCCCACACCGTCTTTGTTCATTAATTCAATCTTGTTAATGACATAAGAAAAATGAATTTACGCAATCAAAATGATTATCCGTCTTAGTTGTTTAAGTTCGGATATTGATTGAACGAACCAAACAAGGATCACATTTGCACTCATTTTCAAAGTGTTCACAATCTTTAATTTGAATATTTCAATGGCACTGAAAAAGCATCACATTTCTATTTGATTGTGAATCAAAGCAAGGAAAATAGATTTCTGCAGATTTCTTGCAGTAAAAAAAACTATTAACATGCGTCATATTCAGGTCTGATCATTGAGTATCATTAGCTGTTTTTTTCTTTTCTTTTTTCTTTTTTAGGGGGTAGATCAGCTTTAATATTGCAGATAGATTGTAACTTCCATCAATGTAATTGTCTGCATCACTTTCAATCCCCCATGATTTTTTTCTCGCAAATATATATTATATATATATATATATATATATGTATATATATATACATACATATAAATACATATAATATATTTCCCTTTATTACATTCCAACCCCACCACCCATTCCCTAATTAATTTTTCTGTTTTGGCTGCATATAGGCAACTCACAGCAGGGCCATAAAACATGGTGTATGGGTCGCTCAGGTGGGTGTCTAGGATTGGGGATCGTTCCATCATGATAGGACAATATATTAGCTATGTTTCCATTAACTTGCCCAGTGATTTTTTGGGGGGACATTTACAAAGTTCACATAGAGAATAGATGCGACAATTACCTGCTTAGGGTGCGTTCCCATTTAACTATAGACACACATGGCGAGGCGTGGCTTAACGTGCCCACACCCCCGAGTAGGTTACAGACGTAGGGTACTCCCTTTACTCCCATGTTAAATTGCCTACTTTACTCAGAACCCGACAATGGCTGTGTTCTTTTTTTAAAAATAATTCTATAACCATTTTGGATATGCTTGGTTGGTCGTTTTTAACATCCATGTCGTTCCATGTCGTTGTGTCGATTAAAACAGCTGGTCGTAATTACTTCACACAACAAAGATTATTTTTGCAACATTGCTTTTGTCGAATAAACCTGGGTCAATGGAAACCTGCCTAATGATAGAGTGTGCCGTTTTCTGTGTGTGCGTGTGTGTGTGTGGGTGTCTCTCTCTCGCTCTCTCTGACAGCTGTGTGATTCCTAATCAGTCCTCAAAGAGTTCCTCTTTGAGCCGACGGTAGCGCCCCTTGCTAGCCATTAGCTCCTGGTGTGTGCCTTGCTCCACCACCTCCCCACCCTCCATGAAGATGATGTGGTCAGCCTTCTCCACAGTCTGCAGCTGGTGGGCCACCACCAACACTGTCTGGCCCACTGAGCCTGCCAGGATGCCCTGCACCTGGGAGAGAGCATTAAGAACCCTATTGACATCATGTTACTGAAGCTATTAGATTTAGACTAAATAAAAATAGATTCTATGACTATATTGGGTCCTGGTTAAAGGTTATACCGAGGGCCCAGAGTTGTTCCTGCATAAGTCACATTGTGACTTCAATTGTGACCCCTCAAATAGATTCAGAGTCGGTAGTCTGTTGTAATTAGTCATGTTCATTCTGCAGTTGGTTTAGTTCCATGTTTTACTTTAGACATGAAAATCATGTAATATTGTTGTGCTATAGAGGTCTTTAATGTATACCGCATGCTGTGTGTTGATGTCCATGCCGCTGGTTGCCTCGTCCAGGATGAGGACCAGTGGCTCTCGAACCAGAGCTCTGGCGATGGCGATGCACTGCTTCTGTCCAGAAGACAGCTGCCCTCCACACTCACCTACATCTGAGAGATACACAGGACATTAGTGCTAGGCCAGCTAGTAGCTACACAGATAGATAGGCCTGTAACTCACAATACATCACACAGCAGATATCTCAAGCATTATACAACCGGTTGTTCCAGTCTTACACCTTATATCCTAACTTTGGTAGAGTCTTTTTGGCAGGCTTTTATGAAGGCAGAACAGCCCCTCTAAAGAAAATAAAATGCTTGCCAATGAATGACTGTGATGAATATGTGTCAATGCAATGGCCACAAGGTGACCAATCACTACCTACCTGTGTTGTAGCCCTGTTCCAGCGTACAAATAAAGTTGTGGACGTTGGCGCTCTTCGCGGCCTCTTTCACCTTCTCCAGGGTGCATCCCAGGAGGCCGTACTCTATGTTGTATCTGATAGAGCCAGAGAAGAGCACTGGTTCCTGGGACACCAGGGCCATCTTTCCTCAGGGAGAGATCATCATCAGGGTGTTTGGTTTAAAAACATATTAAAAACAATTGAACAAGTCATATGGTATGACTGTATGACACAGGAGGTCTGCAGGCTAATGTGCAACTCTTGGACAGTAACATTGCTAAGAGAGGGAGTGAGCTGAACGGTCCTACTTTGCATAACAGTTGTTCACACATGTATAAAGGATTATGGAAAGCAGAGCCCTATCAATGAGCTAAAGCACTACAGCACATTATTGGACATGGTGGGGGTCCTGACTGTACCTTCTGATGCAGGTACTGGTGCTGGTAGCAGTGCAGGGGCTGTCCATCCAGCAGCACCTGGCCCTCCTTGGGCTCATACAACCTCGCGAGCAGGCTGACGCAGGAGCTCTTCCCGCAACCAGAGGGCCCCACCAGCGCTGTCATCTTCCCTGGATGCAGGTCCAGACTCACAGCCTGGCAGATAGATGGTTAGAGACATTTAACCTAAATTATTGCAGGTACAGGCAAGCATGGCAGGGAGATAATACAGTGCCTTCAGAATGTATTGACACCCCTTGACTTTTTCCACATTTTGTTGTGTTACAAAGGATTTAATTGTGTCATTTTTTGCTAACGATCTACACAAAATACTCTGTAATGTAAAGGTGGAAGAAAAAAAATCCTAACATTTGTAAAAAATATATATGAAAAATATTAATACATTAATATATCTTGTTACATAAGTATTCAACCCCCTGAGTCAATACATGTTAGAATCACCTTTGGCAGCGATTACAGCTTTCTGGGTAAGTCTCAAGTTGGTTATTGATCATTGCTAGACAGCCATTTTCAAGTGTTGTCATACATGTGCTGTGTTGGATTTGCCCCAAACATAAAGCTTTGTATTCAGGACATAAAGTTATTTTCTTTGCCACATTTTTTGCAGTTTTACTTTAGTGCCTTATTGAAAAGAGGATGCATGTTTTGGAATATTTGTATTCTGTACAGGCTGCCTTCTTTTCACTCTGTCAGTTAGGTTAGTATTGTGGAGTAACAACAATGTTGACCCATCCTCAGTTTTCTCCTATCACAGCCATTCAACTCTGTAACTGTTTTAAAGTCAACATTGGCCTCATGGTGAAATCCCTGAGCAGTTTTCTTCCTCTCCGGCAACTGAGTTAGGAAGGACGCCTGTATCTCTGTATCCAATGTGTAATTAATAACTTGCTCAAAGGGATATTCAATGTCTGCTTCTTTTTAATCCATCTACCAATAGGTGCCCTTCTTTGTGAGGCATTGGAAAACCTCCCTGGTCTTTGTGGTTTAATCTGTGTTTGAAATTCACTGCTCGACTGAGGGACCTTACAGATGATTGTATGTGTGGGGTACAGAGATGAGGTAGTCATTCAAAAATCATGTTAAACACTATTATTGCACACACAGTGAGTCCAGCAACTTAGTATGTGCCTTATTATGTACACATTTCTAAAAACATAATTCCACTTTGACATTATGGGGTATTGTGTGTAGGCCAGTGATAGACAATCTCAATTTAATCCATTATAAATGCAGGCTTAAACACAACAAAATGTGGAAAAAATGTAAAGGGGGTGTGAATACTTTCTGACAGCACTCTAACTACTTGGCCAACAGACATAAGGTACAGTGCATTTGGAAAGTATTCAGACCCCTTCACGTTTTCAACATTTTGTTACATTACAGCCTTACTCTAAAATTGATAAAATAAAAAAATTTCCCTCATCAATCTACACACATAATGAGAAAGCAAAAACAGGTTTTTATAAAGTTGTGCAAACGTATACAAAATTAAAAACAGAAATACCTTATTCATATAAGTATTCAGACCCTTTGCTATGATACTTGAAATTGAGCTCAGGTGCCTCCTTGATCATCCTTGAGATGTTTCTACAATTTGATTTGAGTCCACCTGTGGTAAATTAAATTGATTGGACATGATTTGGAAAGGCACACACCTGTCTATATAAGGTCCCACAGTTAATAGTGCATGTCAGAGCAAAAACCAAGCCATGAGGTCGAAGGAATTGTCCGTAGAGCTCCGAGACAGGATTGTGTCAAGGCACAGATCTGGGGAAGGGTACCAACTCATTTCTGCAGCATTGAAGGTCCCCAAGAACACAGTGGGCTCCATCATTCTTAAATGGAAGAAGTTTGGAACCACCAAGACTCTTCCTAGAGCTGGCCACCCGGCCAAACTGAGCAATCAGGGTAGAAGGGCCTTGGTCAGGGAGGTGACCGAGAACCCGATGGTCACTCTGACAGAGCTCCAGAGTTCCTCTGTGGAGATGGGAGAACTTTCCAGAAGGACAACCATCGCCTTTATGGTAGAGTGGCCAGACGGAAGCTACTCCTCAGTAAAAGGCACATGACAGCCCGCTTGGAGTTTGCCAAAAGGCACCTAAAGGACTCTCAGACCATGAGAAACAAGATTCTCTGGTCTGATGAAACCAAGATTGAACTTTTTGGCCTGAATGCCAAGCGTCACATCTGGAGGAGGGATGTATTTCAGCAGCAGGGACTGGGAGACTAGTCAGGATCGAGGGAAGATGAACGGAGAAAAGTACAGAGAGATCCTTGATGAAAACCTGCTCCAGAGTGCTCAGGACCTCAGACTGGGGCGAAGGTTCACCTTCCAACAGGACAACGCAGGAGTGGCTTCGGGACAAGTCTCTGAATGTCCTTGAGTGGCCCAGCCAGAGCCTGGACTTGAACCCGATCGAACATCTCTGGAGAGACCTGAAAATAGCTGTGCAGCGATGCTCCCCATCCAACCTGACAGAGCTTGAGAGGATCTGCAGAGAATAATGGGAGAAACTCCCCAAATACAGGTGTGCCAAGCTCGTAGCGTCATACTCAAGAAGACTCGAGGCTGTAATCGCTGCCAAAGGTGCTTCAACAAAGTACTGAGTAAATAATCTGAATACTTATGTAAATGTGATATTTCATTTTTCATTTTTATGCATTTGCAAACATTTCTAAAAACCAGTTTTTGCTTAGTCATTATGGGGTATTGTGTGTAGATTGATGAAGGGGGGAAAAAAACAATTTAATCAATTTTAGAATAAGGCTGTAACGTAACAAAATGTGGAAAAAGTGAAGGGGTCTGAATACTTTCCGAATGCATTGTATAGTTCAATAGTTAAATAAATAAACTACAAAAAAATAAATATATGATGCTGGTTCAAAGACAAGTCTCCCTATTAAAAGATGTAATTGTATCGATAAATCCATGAAAATAGCAGGGCTATTACTCTGTTTTAAATATTGATACAATCTTTCATAACAGCTCATATCCTATGAATAGATGCTTACCTTCAGTGCAGGTGTATCTGGGCGTGAGGGATAGTAGAAGGTAACATTGTGGAAAGCAAGTTTCCCCTGAAGCTTTGCAGGAGCCAGCTCTCCTGCTTCTTTCTGATTGGGCTTTCTGTCCAGAAACGTGAACACCTTGGCTGCCGCCCCGACAGTGCTCAGCGTGTCTCCAAAGACATACACAAGTTGCTGACAACAACAACGAAAACATTTAAGTCAGTTTCACATCAGGTATTCAGAAAAATGACATGATAATTCAAAAGCCTGCTGGTGGTTAATTTGCTTACTTACCTTCATATTGGTCACCATGTCTTTCTGGAAGAGGACGAAAGCCAGCACACTGCCGATGCTCAGCTGGCCAGATGAGATGAGCCTCCGACACAGGAACAGCATGGCCACCTTCAGGCCCACTGTCACCATCTGGTCAGAGAAAAGACACAGAGGGGTATTGGATACAGGAACACATCACGTATATAGAGTACTGTATAAGAGTTAAAGGTGTTCAGTGTGTAGGGAGGTAGGGAGGTAGGGAGAGACAGACACATCATGTGGGATAGACTACAGATCCATGTTATTTACAGCACCCAGGGGTCTCAAACATCGATCATTGGGTCGTAGAATTATCATTAGTTTCATTTTACCCTTCTCAGTAAAAGATGGACAGCACTGACGATGCCCTTGTGCTCCTGGACCTTGTACATCCTCTCCAGTGCTTGGTTGTACCTATCCAGCTCTTTCTCCTCAGCTCTGAAGCTGCGAACCGTTCTCACCGCCCCAATGGCCTGGGATGCCAGCTCCTTGGTCTGGGCCTGGCAGTCCTGCAGCTGCTTAATGAACTTCTGTTGGGTGGTACCAGTCAGACAGTCAGTCAATTAATCAATTAATCATAATTCTAGAAGCATCTGTCACTAACTAGTCAATAATCCCATTACTTTTCTATACTTGGTCTTTATTTTGTCTACATTGCTGTCAGAGTTATAGCTGCATTGGTGTTTAGGTGTTGTTCTAGCTACCTGGCTGTAGGTAGGGTAGAGTGGGGTAAGTTGAGCCGGCATCACTCTGTCAAGGGAAATATAGTATTCTTTCTAAAAAGATATCTACATATATTTCAGGATGTTGTGTATCCCTGGAAATAATCAGAATTCATGTAAACATTACAGTTTTGAAAACATAGCTTGTCCAAAAAAAGTGGTCTCTTGGCACAACTTACCCCGGGTATGGGGTAAATTGAGCCGCGGGACAGGGTAAGTTAAGCCACCTACATATTTCTGTACTGAATTGAATATTACCACTACCTTTTTAAAACCATGTCTATCTTTATTTCCCCAAACACAATCTAACACAATCACTTTTAGTCTTTTAATCATTTTAAGCGTATTTTAACCCAGGCTTAACACCTAACAAACCCTTAGTACTTTTTTAACACTTTTAAGATAGGCCCTGTTGTTACCTCATATCCCAGCAACAATGCCTTGCATTACGCCTGGGAAGAAAACACTTCAATTTGCTCAATTTGCCATTGGCTCAACCATTGGCTCAATTCCCCCATGGCCATTGGCTCAACTTACCCCAAGGCAAACATTTTTACTATATTGGCCCACACAGCTACAAGGATGCACTTTCATGCTAGGTTTAGGACCTCATATTGAAACTTATAAAGACCCCAACTGATGTATAGTACAATCTTAAAATGATTTACTTTGGTTTACATACAAGTATCATATAACCTCTAACACAATACATTCACGTGGTGAAAATCATTTTAATTGACCTAACTTGCTTACCATTTTTTCTTCCTTCACAGACTCCATGAAATGAAGACCTCTTCCTAAATATTTGGTCAAATTATTAATTTTGTGTATGGTTTCCTAGAAACAAGGGTGGCTCAACTTACCCCACGCTCCCCTATTATATTTTAGGTGTTTGGGCGTTGTTGCGTCTACCTGGTTGTATGTGTTATATTTGGTCTGCAGCAGGGTGAGGAGGGGCATCTCCACCATGGTGAGCAGGGTGAGCTGCCAGGACAGGCCCAGCATCAGGACCAGCATACCAGCCATCTTCACCAGGCTGCGCACCAGCACGTTGCTGTTCAGCGCCACAGAGCGTCCCATCTTGTCCACATCATGGCCCAGGCGTGAGGCAAGGCTTCCTGTGGGAGGAAGGACATCATTCATAAATCAATTGGATTATAATGGTAGATGAGCTTTAATATTTATACCAGAATCGTCTGTGACTAAGGATAGAGATCACATCACATGCCACCAAAACAAGAGAATAGGACATGGCATTAAATGCCAATATGTGTTATTATCCTATTACCTCTGTGATATAATACCCATCCCACTGGGCACAGACGTCAATTCAACGTCTATTCCACGTTGGTTCGACCAGTGTGTGCCCAGTGGGATGTTCCTGTGTCCATCATCTCACCTGGTTTGTTCTCCTCAAAGAAGTGTATGTCCTGTTGCACCAGGTTGTGAAACAGCATGTGTCTCATCCTCTTGTTGAGTCTGGATAGGCTGCACATGAACAAGCCCCCTCGCAGGCCTGAGCACAGAGCACTGAGGGGAAAAACCACAGAAAGGTCACAGACAGGTCAATCAACAATCACAGAAGGGTCTATCATTATTCTCTCTGTCTATTCACAGATAAACCAAAACACAGAGGAGAGGAAACAACCAAAGGAAAAACTAGAGAAAGTAAAAGAGGAAGCGAAACCTGTGTACCTTCCTAGTGAGACGAGTCCCATGCCTCCAATGGCATACATGAAGCTGTTGTGCTGGTACTGACCACTCAGCGTATCAATGACCTTCCCCTGGTAGTAAGGGATAAAGGTCTCACCTGCAACAACAAGAATGGCTCGATCAAAACGGTTCACTTGAACGGATGGCGTAAGTAAGAATAATTATAGCTAAAAAATAATTAGCTCAACAAATTCCTTGAAAACAATTGATAACAGAATACAAACGAACGCATGTGCTTGGCATGCACATTTGAAATTACTTTTACAAAACGCTATACTCACAGATGACAGCAAGGCTGAGGAAGAGGAAGGCTGCAGCCAGGTAGAGGGCATCTGGTCTGCAGTATCGCACCATCCTCATCAACAGTGCCCTGGCCTCCTGTTTCTTCTCCTTCTCCTTCCCCTGGTTCCCTCCATCATCAGGGAAGCCCAGCTCCCATGCCAGGCAGGCCACAGTGGAGGATACCAGGGCCAAGACCACCATGCTTGGGTCAGGCACCGGACCCAGGTTGTCGGCAGTCAGTGCCGGCAACATGACCATCTGTCCACTTTCAAACACAGGAGGCAAGAGGCAGAGCACTGCCACCCATCTCCTCAGCACTGGCTGTGGCTTTCCATCAGTGAGCACCAGGTTGATTGAATGGTGCAATACCCACCTTAGGGCTCCAAAGGCCCATAACCCCACCAGTCCTCCACTACTGGAGAACTCAAGTAGCACTAACCCAGTCCACAGTGCCCCCCACAGCACTAGGTCATAGAGAAGAACCAACCCATATGTTTTTAAACGAGCCATGGCCAATAGGTAGAGTTACAGCAGTATCTCAATTGTGTTTATCCTGGAAAGAAAAAAAAAATGAAATCGGTAAATCGGTAAATCGATATGGTGCTCATTATTACCCTAACAATAGCAATGCCTTTACATGCATGATATCAATATCCATAATGAGCGCACAAGACACATGGGCAGTATCTATTTTAGTATAGTAATACAATATAGTATAATGCATACATGGAAGACACGGAGTTTCAGAAAAAGAAAGGGCCGATGGCATGCCCATCATAAAATCGATGGAGACTGTAGACAGCTGGCTTAATCAAATGAAGTCATAACAGAAAACATATTTGGTAGTCTATCATCCACACTGACAATTGCCCTGCATAACTCTACTTTCTTAGAAAAGCTAACAATATTCTTACCATCGTCTTCGCTTGTTTTCATGCAGCTGGTTACACGTTACAGTAAAATACATGGATACTTTTACTTTCACTTTCTACTGGCCACCAGAACAACAAGATCTCTGCGAGCAAACGTTTGAAGTGTCTAGCCTACTCCAGTCCTAGCCTATATGTCAACATTTGACTAGAGCTTTGTAACTGACAACTTGACAACTACATTTAAAATAATGTAAACAGAAATATTTTGCTTTGGGAGAATATCAATTGCATTTCCTTGGAAAAACTCTCAATCGCGAAATCCTCGCGTCCTCTCTCATCGCCTCCTTCTCAAACCCCATTGGATGAGAAGGTCAGAGGGGCGGGACCTCTGACTTTCACATCCAATGGGTTTTGAGAATGAAGCGAGGAGCGGACGCGAGGAATCAAGGAGATACAATTGAGATTCTCCCTTTGATTTCAGCTCAAAAACCCTTCCACCTTATTTTCATCTTGACCTGGCAGGCAACGCTAATTGTTGCCACATCATGGCATACATCTATGAATTTGGAACACTCCCTTCTCAGAAGATTATTTTAAGGAATAGCCTCGAACGACAGCTTCTTTGCACTGAAAAATGAAAAACACGTTTTTTAAGGTGACATTTATTCTAATTTCCATAATAATTTTATATAAATAATGATTTGTATAAAATATATATATATATATCATTATTTGGTACCAGTGCAAGAAACAATAGTCATTTCTATGAAAATACCTATGAATTGTTCCATGACAAGGGAGCCATAGCCAGCGGCAGACTGGGCATCTGGCATTTCGGGCAAATAGCAGATGGGTTGGTCAATTTTTTGCCTAACTTTTTGATGTTGCAAAATTATAATTATTTGGCCCCTTGGGGCCTCAAAGAAAAAAATGGGCCTGTGTGGGGACCTGGAGTAGAAATTGGGGGGCCTCAAGGGGGAAAAAATGGTCTGGTGTGTTAGAAATGCCAGGGCTGATTTTTGGTCCCAGTCCGCCCCTGGCCATAGCCTAAAAAGTATGCTGCCACATATGTGACTATGTTCCTTAGAGTAATCTCTTCTTGATGATACCTGAAATACGAGTAGGTTGAGAAGTAACATAAATCTCCAACACCTACAGTACTTGCTTCAGTCTTTGACAATGAAAAGCACCCATGTCCTAGTGACTCCTGCATTTTTACACAATACATTCTCAGTCATACCAGTAAGCTACTGATCGTTGAACATATCAACAAGACATGAACAGAATCATAAACAAATGTGTTTAGGCCCAAAAAATCAAAGATTTCTTGAGATTAAGAACTTGACGTTGATATGCTCAATCAATGATATCAGTCTTAATAAACTGGTAGGCTTACAGTACTCATCATTCAGTTGAGGTTTCTTCTGGTGTAGTATGTATAGGAAATTGAATAGGCCTACAGATACTAAATGTTTATTTTGATTGATTCCATGTACAAGGCACATCTATTTTTTGCACAGTCTTGCTTGTTGAAGGGTGGAGAGGGATTCCTAAGGTGGCATGTCTTCTTGAACATGACATTGATGAATGTGTAACAGGGTGTGAGGAAAAGGCACAAGTTTATGGATTATGGCATGTGTGAAAAAGTACTGCATTTGATCACCAATAACAGTATCATACACTTGTACTTTAAGATCAGCAGCACATGATATACAATCACAGAATCGTGGGAAGTATACATCTGTGAGTTTGGTGTATGTATTTGGACAGTGACGCTGTTCACAGGCGGGCGGCATCCCCCGTCTCAGAGTCTGAGGCCTTGTCTTTGTCCCCCTTTGTGGGCACACTGCTGTATTGGCACTGGGAGACCACGTTGTTAACACTGGCAGGCTTTGGTGGGGAAACCTGAGGTGGCACCTGCTGCCCCTTTAGCACCCTTCTATCCAGCCAGTAGAAAGACACCATGAGGAATACAGCTGATGAGGCAACAGTAGCACTGCAGGCGAAGAAGACGTAAAAATACTCCCCAGTTCTGTCCACCATGATTCCTGTAACAACAAACGTGGTCAACAACAACAATAACAGGAGCCAATCAGCATTAGTAAAGCCCCAGCAGCGCATGAAAGGCTGATCATGATGACATAAGAGGATAACTACACCAATAACAGAGCATTACCACAGAGGTTCCTAAACCCAGAGGCACAACATCGCAAGACTTCCAGAAACGCTTGCGAAGCAGACCAAGCAGACCAGGCCAGGGTTTGGGGTTTGAGAAGTCAATGAGAGAAGTGAAACATTCTTCCTTAGTTGTTTATTTTCTCGAAATCTAAAGCACAACCTAGATTACAGCCAATGTCTTAAGCAGTTGAACATGTTATTACTCCAACCTGGTGAAAGTGACAAACTGACACGTTTCCATTTTCGTCATAAACAACTTTATATCGAAGGTGTGCCTTTGATTTTGACGGCGCGAGACGACCGTTAGACCAGATGACGTGTTTCTGCGCATGAGCTTAGCTAGCCAACGTCGCCATGACATCGGGATTTCTATTGGAGAAGCAGTTTCTGCCTATCTTCATACTGTGCCGTCTTTGATTCTACCATTGCACAGTGAAACTCAGCCAACCACATAAGCAGTCAGACAGAAGTAGGTTGCATACCTGACATTTGCGCTGGAATGGCCCCTCCCCCCAGGAAAGAGGGAGCTGAACATTCCATTCTTATTCAAGTCTGTCTGCTATTTATTCTAAGACCACCCTGCAACATGCACAAACAGGCACGAGCACCGAGGGACGCACATATTCATGTACACACACACACACAGCCTGGTTTCCCTTGGACACACGATTGGTTAGATGTCAGTGCGATCCAAGCAACAGGATATGCTGCTTGCCTCTGACCACAGCTTGTGATATGCCTAGCACTCCTTCAAGTTACGCTACAGCACACACACACACACACATCCTCCCCCGCAGGGAGTTCGGTACCTGCGAGCGGGGGCCCGATCAGCAGCGTGACACTCTCCATGATGGCGAGCAGGCCCAGGGCAGCTGGGAAGCGACTCATGTCCAACGTATCCATGAGGACGGTGAACATCAGCGAACCCACCACGCTCATGGACAGGCCGTAGGTCACCACATACACCAACAGCACGGAGAAGCTGGCATCGATACAGCAGATACTATTACTCAGCCCATTCATCAGCAGAGCAGCAGAGAACACGTAGATGTGGCGCCCCTTGAACCAGGGTAGGCTGAAGAGCAGGCCAATGGGCGGCCGCACCACGATGTTGACGATACCCAGGATGGAGAGGAGGAGGGCGGCCCGGCTCTGCTCCATGTCGTGGGCCGTGGCGTAGGGCACCAGGTAGATCAGCGGCACCACGAAGCCAAGCATCATCCAGGTGATGCCCACAGCGTACACACGGTACCGCAGGTTGTTACGTAAGAGGTCAAATGCCATGTGATGGTGCAGGGCGGACGTCAGACCGGCCCACAAGGCCCTCATCCTCCCCGTTGGCTTCTCCTCCTCCGGCTGAAGAGGCCTGTGGTTCATCAGGGGCTGGCCACGGTGTCTGCGGCCCCATAGGGGCCTCATCACAGCTCCGCACACGCAGCAGTTGAGCAGGACGGCCCCCAGCACCAGAAAGCTCCCCCGCCAGCCCAGCTCAGTGTGGAGGTAGTTGCCCAGGAGAGGCAGGGTGCACAAGCCCAGGGCAGTGCCCGAGGACGACACTGCGTTGGCGAAAGCCCGCCGCCGCACAAAATAGTGCCCGAGAATGGTCACTGCGGGCTGGAAGCTGAAGCAGAATCCAAGTCCTGTCAAACGAGAAGACAATGAATAAGGCACATGGCTGAATGCATGGGAGTTGGTAGAGGTTGCCCCTAACCACTAATACAGGGCCACATTTTTTTCACCTTCCTTAATAATGGTAAGGATTGGGATGTAGGGTTATCTGATTCTAGATCTGTGGTTAGATGTTAACTGCTATGTGGAGTGACTCCATGTGTGTGTATGTGGGAGGGTAGTGACCTGTGATAACCCCAGCTGTGACGTAGAGCTCAGTGATGGTGTGGGTAAACGAGCTGGCCGCCATTCCAAGCCCACTCAAGACCCCGCCCAGCATCACCGTCGTCCGGCAACCAAACCTCTCCACCAATACACTGCAGAATGGACCTAAAGGAGGAGACATGCTATTGGTTAAACACACAAAGACCTCATAGAAAGTACAGTAAAATTTAGAGCCTTAGGTACAAGGGAATTTCCCTAATCCAACAATCTTTGCATAACTGCCCTCTATGGCTATATTTATATTAAACAAAGTGGTGGTTTGTCCAGGGCCTTTTGCACCAGATGGGACCCCAAGCACAACCCTAAAGAGATACAATGACTTGTTGTAAACTGAACAACGTTTGGGTTGTGTTTCATGGCCAGGATCATATAACTGCTGTTGAGCGAAAACAGAAGGTTCAATGCTCTGCGAGAACCCGCCCCACACACACTTTTTATTTTAGCCTCTCCTATTGTTATTGTTTGGCTTACTAGAAGGAAATCTGCAGAAGCAATCATTGCAGTGGGTGCACCAGACTCAACATTAAAAACAACCATGTCTCTCATTGGCTCCTTGTCTATATTCAGTTTTCATTGCATTGGAGCATTGGCACCAATATGGAGTTCTCAGTAAGATGCCCAGTAAGCAGTGGTGTAGTGGTGCATGGAGAAGTGGGTATACTCTAATTTTGCCCACAATTTCCCAAACGGCCCACCCGGCGAAGGAATGGCGCCCTGTGTGAAAAGTTCTATGACAAACAGTGACATACACTCTGAATGACCTAAAATGATAAATCCCATATTGGTCTTCTACAGTCAGGCCAACCCAAGCTGTACTGTGCAGTAGGCTAATAGTAGGCCTACTATTGAAACAGATAAATGAGACTGAGTCAGACATGTTTCTTCTTCAGGTTTTCACTCTCAAAGTCACACTTTTTAAAATTGGAAGTTCTAAGTCCACAACAATGCTTAAACCACATCAGGAGACCACTTTTGAAGTCTGGGGAAAATCTAATAAATTATAAATTTGAGTGTAGTTACCCTTTAATTCAACTGTGTCGGCACCTAGCACTGTTGTTTGGTTAGTGGGTTTCTGTAGCACACATGAGATGGAGTTTGGAAAACAAATGGCCACTGTATTGATGCAAATAATCATGATATCATTCTGCCAGGTAGGCATACACTCTTAGAAGAAAAGCTTCTGGATAGAACCAAAAAGGGTTCTATGCTTGCTTCATATATGGCACTCCTTAAGGTTCTATATACAGTAGAACAGAAATTGTGGTTCAGTGAAGAAGAACCCCTGTGGTTATGATCAAAGAACCCTACAAAAGGGTTCTATATTGAAATTTTAGGGGTGCCATATATGAAGCAAGCAATATAACCTTTTTTACTAAGAGTGTAGGCTACTTTGTAGCTAGTTAACATTTAATTGAGAACATTTATGGGAAAGCCTTTCCATCTACCAGAAGACGGTTAGGCCTATTATTAGCACCGCTATATTTTTCCTGTTCCTTAAATTGTTTGAAACCTGTACATTTGACTTATTATTAGGCATGCGTTAGCTAGCATCAAAGTATCCTATAGCCAAAATCCCACCATAGAAACGTGGAGGCAATTATTTTATAAAGACTTCCTCATATGCGCTCTCCTGTTCTATTGGTTTTCAACTCAACTTTCATTCATTGTCCATCAGCCAAAGGCATTATCCTAGTCATACTAGCATTATAGTTGTTGCATCTTTTGATCTCACCTCTTTAAAAATGTCTAACAGATATTTCCATCTCTTTCCATGAAACCGCTTGCATGAGCGGTGATTATTTTAGAACTATGTTTTCCCGCAAATTGCATTTTGGAACATTTGCACATCGGCCTACTGCCTACTGCCTACTGCCATGTGCACATTGTTGCGTTTAAAATGCTAAACATTCTAAACATTTTTTATTGATACGGCATATACCTCACTACACTACTTTGATACGCATCATGGGGATTAAGAAGTGAGTATACGCAATGCCCACAGAAAAAGTGGGTATATGGCGTATACCTGCGTATACCCTCCACTACACCAGTGGTGGAAAAAGTACAACATTGTCATACTTGCGTAAAAGCAAAGATACCTTAATAGAAAATGACTCAAGTAAAAGTGACCCAGTAAAATAATACTTGAGTAAAAGGTTTTAAATGTACTTAATTAAAGTGGTGGAAAAAGCACTCAATTGTCATACTTAGTGGAGCCAAGTGGTGCACCAAAGGGAACTTAAGTGCAACAAGTAGTAAAAACTGTAAGGTAGCTGGCAAGTACAACCTGATACTGCAAGGTCAATGAAATAAGTAATGTACCAGCTTACTGATTGCTCAGTTTAGCTTTTGACTCATCTTAATTCAGTTCTGGTGATTTTGTGTTGTCGTTGCTTTGAGGCAGTGGACACACATACACAACTTTTCCAGATGTTTAGGGCTTGAAACCCAAATAGAAACAGACCCCTTGTGAGTGGCTGACTAAAGGAAGGCAGCTCATGTGGTGCTACACAGCGTTAGTGTGTGTAAGGGAGAGTGACCATCCTTGAAATCTCCCTTATCAAATAAACAAACAGGAGATATGTTGACACTCATAATGTATGCCCTTTCCATGGGTTTTGTGTCTGTCTGATCTGACCAGTCACTATGAGACAGCAAACCTCTGCACTGTAAATCAAATGTTTGCACAGTGAATGATCATGACAGGCTGAGTGGGTTAGAAGATATGCTTTAAGTGTTTTAAAAAGTAAGGAAGTCTTGTACTGTACTAGACTGTCAGTGATCAATGAACTCTCTTTGAGCACATTTCCCCACAAGCATATATGAATGTGTCACTGCAAAAAGAACCCTGAAAAAACCCTACTTAAAATCAGAAGGTGAATCTATGGAAACTAGGATGTGACTACTACCATACCTCCAGCATGAAGCACTGATGTCATTATTGAAGGCACCCAGGAAGTCTCTTGGTTGCTGGCCTGGAACTCCATCTGTAGGTCCGTGTAGAAAATTCCCATGCAGGAGGGGAAGCCCAGAGTCAGGGCTAGCACCAGGATGGTGGCCACCAACACCACCCAGCCCCAACCCCCATCAGGTGCAGTGACGGCCCCATCCATGGCCACAGGGACTATGGGTTCAGACTTGCCATTCTCCACCTCTTCAGAGTCCATGATCTCTCCATTCTTCTGCCCCATGTTAGGTGTCTGCTCAGGGGCCTTGCTCTCCATCTGGAGGCTGTCACAGTCCCCTGCCCCCTTGCTGCCTTTCCTCCGGTTCATCCTCTGCTCAGATGCTGAGGCAATGCCCTAGTAGTAGCTTGCCAGGGTGAATGACACTCACTAATATATTCCATCTCACAGTGTATCTCCTCCTCAGCAATGAATATGCCTGTTAAATAGGTGGGAAAAAACATGAGCAACCTGATTTGTCCTCTGGCTACGTTGTGTCAAGTCTTGTTTGTAGCAAAGCATCAGACACACCCTTTGCATAGCTTGTGGCAAAAACTATCTGGCTGTCACTTCATAAATAGGAAAGATAAGACCACCTCAAAACGAAACTAACTTTTCCAAGGTCTAGTGTAATCTGTATGCATAAAAGTAAGGGCAGATTTCCACTATTGGTGTCTGTTAATGAAGGGGGAAGGGAGTAGGATATAGATACAGTGCCTTCGGAAAGTATTCAGACCGCTTGACTTTTTCGTGTTTTGTTACGTTACAGCCTTGGATTAAATACAAAAAAATCCTCAGCAATCTACACACAATACCCCATAATGACAAAGCAAAAACAGGTTGTTAGAAATGTTTAATAATTTATTAAACTTAAAAAACAGAAATAACGTATTTACATAAGTATTCAGACCCTTTGCTATGAGACTCGAAGTTGAGCTCAGGTGCATACTGTTTCCATTGATCATCCTTGAGATGTTTCTACAACTTGATTGGAGTCCACCTGCGGTAAATTCAATTGATTGGACATGATTTGGAAAGGCACACACCTGTCTATTTAAGGTCCCACAGTTGACAGTGCATGTCAGAGCAAAAACCAAGCCATGAAGTCGAAGGAATTGTCTGTAGAGCTCTGAGACAGGATTGTGTCAAGGCACAGATTTGGGGAAGGGTACCAAAAAATGTCTGCAGCATTGAAGGTCCCCAAGAACACAGTGGCCTCCATCATTCTTAAATGGAAGAAGCTTTGAACCACCAAGACTACGTAGAGCTGGCCGTCCGGCCAAACTGAGCAATCGGGGAGAAGGGCCTTGGTCAGGGAGGTGACCAAGAACCCGATGGTCACTCTGACAGAGCTCTAGAGTTCATATGTGGAGATGGGAGAACCTTCCAGAAGGACAACCATGTCTGCAGCACTCCACCAATCATGCCTTTATGGTTGAGTTGCCAGACGGAAGCCACACCTCAGTAAAAGGCCCGCTTCGAGTTTGCCAAAAGGCAAAGATTCTCTGGTCTGATGAAACTAACATTTCAACTCTTTGGCCTGAATGCCAAGCGTCACGTCTGGAGGAAACCTGGCACCATCCCTACGGTGAAGCATGGTGGTGGCAGCATCATGCTGTGGGAAAATAGCTGTGCAGCAACGCTCCCCATCCAACCTGACAGAGCTTCAGAGCATCTGCAGAGAAGAATGGGAGAAACTCCACAAATACAGGTGCGCCAAGCATGTAGTCATAACCAAGAAGACTCGATGCTGTAATTGCTGCCAAAGGTACTTCAACAAAGTACTAAGTAAAGGGTCTGAATACTTAAGTAAATTTCAGTTCTTTTAAATTAGCAACATTTTCAAAAAAACGGTTTTTGCTTTGTCATTCTGGGGTATTGTGTATAGATTGAGGGAAAAAAAACAATTTAATAAATTTTAGAATAAGTCTGTATGGTAACAATTTCAAGGGATTTGGATACTTTCCGAAGGCACTGTATATGGCACGGGCACATATTTGCATGTGCTTGAGAAAGTCTAAAAGTTCGAATGAATGGCCTACTGTGCAAGACCTTTTCCGGATTAGATTTCTGGCTGTAATCTTTGTTTGTTTAGTGGTATTACTTACAAAAAAAAGTGCCGTTTTGAAACTGCAGTAACTGCAGTCAACTGTGGTATTTTGGACGCAGTGATTGCAGCATACTGCAGTTATACTGCACTCTGACAGCAATCTTTTTTCGTAAGTGACAAATTCGAATTGTGAGTGCGACTGTGCGTAATTCAGCTATAAAATGTCCAAACATAGCCTATAATTCGCATTTAGGCGCACATTCATGACAGGATGAGATGCATTTAATTTAGCTGTCATTTATCCCATTTTAACGCCTCAACGTGTGAGCCACTCTTCAAAGACGGCGGTACAGTGTATGCAATTTGGACACGCGCGGCATCATCGTCCAATTCAATTTTCAGTAACATTTGGTTCTTGTCATACTTTAGTCGCTTTGGCACTCTAGTAGCCTACCCAGGTGGCATGTCAATCTATTTGATATTAGGAATCTTAACTGTAGGAGATGCAAATATATCCGGGCCAAGAAAGACTCATCCAAACCACACCTTGATGCGTCCGAACTCCTAATTACTAGAGCGGCTGCTTTGAATCTATGTACAGCAACTGCACGACAACGCTCGAGATCACAACTCATCGAAAATAAGACTACGATTGTGAGAAAACAGTTTGCCTGCACTATAGCTTACTGTCTGTTATTATTGTTGAAGATTATCTTCATGGCTCAAATACTTGCCGTCAAAATACATAGGCTACATTTAGTTTAATTTATGTCCAGTCTCATAATAAAAACATTGACATAATAGGCAGGCAAGATCACTTGTTTTCAGTAGACTATCACATTGCTCACCAAATTGAGGTCGGCTAGAAAATGCCATTCTTACCTTTTGCGGCTACTCATTATTTGACGGCCATTAGCCTACTCCGCTTCGACCATTTTTACCCTCTCTACCATATCATAAACAAGCCAGCTGTAAGTCCTAGCCCCTGCCATGGAGCAACAATATCGTGTTATGGGGTGGGAGGAGAAAGGACGTAGGAGCGTTGGTGCATGATTATCACAAATTACATTACGAACACTCACATTTTTGGCCATTGGTAGGCTACTGTCAATCCAGAACAATCTGTCGTGGACATAAGTGGTAGAAAGTATCTGCTTTGACGAGGACAATTGTACAGTAGCCTAATGTGGTCGAAGAAATGGCAACGCTAGGCGCTTCCTTCCTCCTACTATAATGGTTTCACAGGAGGTTGGTGGCACCTTCATTGGGGAGGACGGCCTCGTGGTAATGGCTGGAGTGGAATAAGTGTAATTGTATCAAATACTTGGTTTCTATGTGTTTTATGCCATTCCCTTCGTTCCAGACATTATTATAAGCAGCCTCCACTGGATGGTTTATTTGCTCTGTAGGCTACTGCGCACAGAAGTAGTCATATTCATCAGTATATATTTCATGCTCAGGAGTCAGTAATGGCCTTGTAGCCTGGTCTCATAGACTAGACGTAACATAGTAAATGTAAATTCGTGTAACTAAATTAGTATGATATGTTACGTTTGGTATGGTTACATAAGACAGATGGTTATGTAAAAGGAATTTCCCCCTGGCTCTGCCACGGCATATAGTAATTACTATATTAACAACATTACGTTTTTATCGTAAACATCACTATTATTCAAACCACAAGCTATAACTAGCACATTTGTATTTCACTGGTAGAATCGGGAAGTTTCGACTCCCTGTGTAATCGTCTGCTCATAGTGAACCACAAAGTCCGGCATTCAATGCGAATGCTGATACCGCCCGCTATGTAGAGGGGGTGTGCCCACAAACTTGAATAATGGTGTTGTTTACTTTGAATGACCAACACACAGTAATCTCAGAATTTCTCTAGGCAAGATATTTTTTTAATGTTTATTTTTCACTGTTTGTCATTATGCCCTTGTGGTGTTCTGTACCTGGCTGTGCTAATTAAAAACAAGTGCGAAAATGAGTTCTCTCACCATATTACCTACCAGAAATTCAGCCCGATTCTGCCAGTGGCTTGCCGCTATCAAGAATGATGTGGTGACCAAAGAGTATCAGAGGGATTTTCAGGCTGAACTGATGGGGAACACATGTCGACAACAGCTGAGAAGTGATGCGATACCATCTACTTTTTTCCCCCTTCATAACAAAACAGAAGATTCTCAATTAGAGGTAATCTAATGTTAGCTTGCTAGCCTAGATGGGTATGTTAGCTAGTTAGCTAACGTTACAGTCCTCTATTGAACTCTGAAAGCCATCAGCTAAATCATATAGCTATCTTTTGGTATACACACTGTCAATCAATTTCACCTATGCCATGATAGTCACTGCTAGACTGGTAGCTACCTTGAGCAGAGTAAACACATTTGTTTGTTTGTTCTATCGTTGACTGACATTAGCTAATGTTATCAAATAAGAGTTTCTAAATTTGGTAGCCATCTATTCCAACCATTCTAGAAAACACACTTTTACTAAAAATATAATTGTCAATATAGCTAACTCACTTTCTGTTTGTGTGTTGGTAGCAATGACAAATGTGTATACATCGTCTATGGTTGATTAGTTGGTTCTCAGCCAGTCTCAGCTGGCTAGCAATCTTGCTGCCAATTTTTTTATTTTTTTATTTTATTTCACCTTTATTTAACCAGGTAAGCCAGTTGAGAACAGGTTCTCATTTACAACTGCGACCTGGCCAAGATAAAGCAAAGCAGTGCAATAAAAACAACACAGAGTTACATATGGGGTAAAAAACATAAAGTCAAAAATACAACAGAAAATATATATACAGTGTGTGCAAATGTAGCAAGTTATGGAGGTAAGGCAATAAATAGGCTATAGTGCAGAATAATTACAATAGTATTAACACTGGAATGCTAGATGTGCAAGAGATTATGTGCAAATAGAGATACTGGGGTGCAAAAGAGCAAAATAAATAACAATATAGGGATGAGGTAGTTGGGTGGGCTAATTTCAGATGGGCTGTGTACAGGTGCAGTGATCGGTAAGGTGCTCTGACAACTGATGCTTAAAGTTATTGAGGGAGATAAGAGTCTCCAGCTTCAGAGATTTTTGCAATTCGTTTTGCAAATTTAGTGACACTAGTTAGCTAAAAGCAAGCTGACAATATTGAAATGTCCATGTTAGGTATGCTTAGCTAGCCAGTCTCTAATAGAGATCAATACAATTAGTTGGGTGATTAAATTGTGATTTGTTGTGTATTTTGTTGTAGGTGGTACAGAATTTGATTCCACCAACATTTGCTTCCAACCCCTAGCTCTGGCCAAAATATTTACAAGGTGACGGCTAAAATAGCTCAATGTACAGCAAGCATGGTATAAACATAGATTGGATAGTGTTTGTATGGTTTATGTTATGGAGTTGCAGGTGGTTAGAGGTAGCCTAGGAACCACAGAGTACCTTCCAGACCATGTAATCAATTTCCAGGAGATGGAAGAGGACCAAACAGTTAGTGGTTAAGAAGCCCTACACCATTTTCGGCAGAGTCTTCTCCAGCTGGCCATTTACTGCAGACAGGACAAGCCCATCGCCTGAAGCACAAATAATCTCAGCTTCCCCAGCCCACCATTGCCAGTGTACCAGGACTATGGCTGCGTTTACACAGGCAGCCTAATTCTGATATTTGTTTCACTAATTGGTCTTTTGACCAATCAGATCAGTTCTGGAAAATTATCTGATGTGATTAAGTCCAATTAGTGGAACAAATATCAGAATTGGGCTGCCTGTGTAAACACAGCTATTGTAGCTCAGTTTAAGACCATGTAGAACGGGGGTCTCAACCCTGTTCCTGGAGAGCTACCCTCCTGTAGGTTTTCTCTCCATCCCCAGTTGTAACTAACCTGGTTTAGTTTATCAACCAGCTAATTATTAGAATCATGTGTTCTAGATTAGGGTTGGAGTGAAAACCTACAGGACGGTAGCTCTCAAGGAACAGGGTTGGAGAGCCCTGATGTACAGGAGAGTGTACACTACTTTATGCTAACTCAAGAGAACTGGGTATTCAACAACAATGTTATATGGTAAAAGTAACATAGTATTACATTTACATTTTAGTCATTTAGTAGACACTCTTATCCAGAGCGACTTACAGTTAGTGAGTGCATACATTTTTCATACTAGTATGAACAGTGTAATACATTTCAGTGTGTCAGAGTGTGTCTCATGTGTAGAGACACAAGTGCAGAGAACGATTAGTTACCGGAGTGTAACTCCAGTTCTACGAGTGGAGCGGAGCCCCATAGGGGAGCTCTGCTCCTAATGGTTTACCCTCTGCCCTAAGGCAGCAGCAGCCTGAGACAAAATTATGCACACACCTACAGCCAATAGGAGTACAGGTGTCCCTATAAGAGGGGACGCTTCCCCTCAATCAGCCTCCCGAGATATTTTTCTTCAGCGAGACTAGAGAGGGTCGGCAGGGCCTTAAGTCCTATGGGGCTCCGCTCCACTCATAGAACTGGAGTTACACTCCGGTAACTAATCGTTCTATATCGTGGAGCTCCGCCCCATAGGGGAGCTCTGCTCCTAATGGTTTAAGGCGGAGCGTAGCGCTCCAAAATGTACTCCCTGCCGAGCCTAACACTTCCCATCAAAACGAGAAAGTCAGGCCCAGCAATGGCTGTAACCGAGTCCCGCAGTACTGCAACTAAAAACCCCTACGGGCGTCACAATATACCGCGTCATCGGTTAAAAGACCCGCCCCACCTAGTCCAATGGCAATGCCAATGACTAGTGGGCAGATCACCAGAATAGAAGCCATACTAATCTGTACTAGCAGATAGATGTGCCTCAATATCCTGTGAAAACACTACCGACCACTAATGGAATGACATCAAATGTCACTCTACATTATGAACGCGGTAGACCGCCTCACTCACTCAATGGAATCCCAGAGATTAGTGGGCAGGAACAAAACATGAGTCATACTAACTGAACGAGCAGATAGATGACCTCATATTCTGTTAATCCACGCATGCCTCTACTGTACTGAGCTTGTCAGTCAGGATTCATGCCAAAAATATGTTTTCTCATCCAAAGCGGACCTGATGGAAACCCAGTCCATAGTCCTGCTTTTCCCTCTCTTCCTAGCTCCAGATCTCCCTTCAGCTATGCTGAGTACAGACCGAGCCAAAGAGTTAGAAAACACATCTGTTAAAGACACGTCTTCCTAACCAAAAGCGGACCTGATGGAAACATGTGTCCACAGTCCTGCTTCTCCTCTCCTTCTTGCTCAATATCTCCCTTCAGCCACGCTGAGTACAGATCGAGCCAGAGAATTGGAAGACATATCTAAGAGATAGAAACGGATAAATGGAGACGGCGTCGACCAGGATGCTGCTCTACAGATATCCTCTACTCCCGTTCCTCTAAAAAGGGCAGTAGAAGCCGCTACTCCACGAGTGGAGTGAGCTCTGATACCCTGAGGCAATTGCCGCCCTGCTACCTCATAAGCTGTCTCAATGCCTTCGCAAAGCCAGTGAGACAGCCTCTGTTTTGAAAGTGGTCTACCTAGTGCAGCCGCACTGTGACACACAAACAACTGAGGCGATGACCTAATCGCTGCTGTGCGCTCGACGTAACACACCAAAGCGCGTACCGGGCACAGGCGATGGAGCTTTTCCTCACTCCTCTCTCTATGAGGAGGAGGAGAAAAAGCCCACAGCTCCACGGTCTGTGACCTATATGAACTCTTAATAACCTTCGGCACAAATGCCGGGTTAGGACGTAACACTGCTCTGCTCAGGTCACCATTGATGGCCAGGCAGTCAGGTCTCGTCGAAAGAGCACACAAATCACTGACCCGCTTAGCTGTAGTCAAAGCGAGCAACAGTGCTGTCTTGATAGACAGCATCTTGAGGGGTATTTGATTCACTGGCTCGAACGGCGACTTACATAGCGCTTCGAGTACCAAAGCCAAATCCCACTGAGGAAGCGTGACTCTAGTTGTTGGCCTAAGTCGCCA